ATGTAATTAAATAAATAAATATAAAAATAAAAGAATATTTGTTTATCTTTCAGATCCTGGTGATGTTAACTGCAATCCTGTATGTCTGAATGGTGGGATGTGTCAACTTTCTGACGGTTGTTTTACAAGCTGTTCAAACACTGTGTGTATTTGTTTGCCTGGATTTTCGGGACTTCAATGTGAAATTGGTTAGTTATTTATAAATAATATTTTCTTGTGACGGATTGATAGTGATTTTCCAAATTTTACTCTTTCTCAGTAAAGTTTCTGGTGGTACAACTTGATTGTTCAATGTTGTAGTCACTTTGAGTTATAACTTACATTGTATTTAATTTCTGTATCTGAAATTTTTACACATATATGTATGTTATTTTCTGTAATAATCTCTATTTGCTTATACTGGGAAGGAAACATAACAGTTTGTATTTATTGACAACTGATTATTTTGCTAATCTTGAAGACAGTTGAATCACTTATCAAAATGAGTTTCTAAAAACATGTCTAGATTGGTCAGAAACACATTCCAGTCATGTTCTGTACCTACTTCACATTCATGTTTAAAGCGCAGTGGTCGTCGTGCTGCGCATGTGCCACATTTGTGTTGATAAACATTGATTTTCTCACAATCCAATGCGCTCTTCAAATGGAAATCACAAGTATGAGGTTTGACCTGGGCACTACTTCCTTCGATACCTTCCAATTACATGAAAATACTTAATTAAAGCTTGGAAACATGTCAGTTCATACTCGTTGATCTGCGCAACAGTCAAAGTCGCCATCTTTGTTTATATGAGACGACTACCACGCTTTAAAAATTATAATTGTTTAAAAATTGTACTTGTTTTAAACTCATTGGCGTGGTTCTCTAATACGCATGGGACATAACTGAAATTGTTTCAGACATGTCACAAACATATAGTTCAATTTTAGAGTGATGCTGGCTTAACATTTTCAGCACCACATTTTTTTCCAGTTTAAATTTAAATAAATTTTTCAATGAAATCAATCTTAATTTCAGACCAAACAGACAAAATGTGACATTTCTTCTAGTTTTTGATAAAAAAATTTGAAATTTTCGCAACATTTCGTTTAGAAAAAAGCAGACTAAAATGAAACTATTTTGTGGATGATGCCTGAAGTTGACTTTGCCACTCAAAAGGTTAAGCTTGTGATTTCACAAGTTATATTTTTGATCAAGTATTTTATTAACTCATAACACCCTACTGAAGGAGGTTAAAGGTTACAAAAGAAAATTACAGATAAAAATTACCAACAACAACCCAAAACAAACTAAATTGTAGCTAGTAAAGGAATTATATTTTAATAAAATAAAATGAAACACCAACAAAAAACTATAAACTGAATATAAAAACAAAAACCCAATGAACATATAATAGATATAAAAAAAAGTCAATGACTTAGTCTAATAACAAAGCTGTATTTCAGATATTGTGCCAAGGGAATTGTTAAGTTATCATTTGACATTATTTTTATGAATTTATTTTCAGGTATAAGATTTGTAAAGTCAGGAATAATCTTTTCAGCTTCATTGTATAAAACGTCCCTCTCTTTACTATATACTGGGCATATTATGAGAAAGTGATGTTCATCTTCAATATAATTTTTATTACACAATTTGCAGATTATGTCGCTACTTTTGATTCTTGATATCTTCACTAAAACTCTTCTTAATGATGCAGATTATAATAATTACAGGTGATAATAGCTGCCAGTTTGAATGCAGTAATGGTGGACAGTGCATCGATGGTCATTGTGTTTGCCCACCAGGACTGAGTGGTGTATCATGTCAAATAGGTAATTAGTCATTTTTAATATTTAAAATGGTTGGATTTTACTAAAATTTAAAACACAGGCTATAATAATTTTTTTTTTCGAATAGATTGATTACATTTGCTGGAAAGTACATGTATGTGAACTTGTGTCCTGATATGCAGGGGTTACGTTAAGAGCCGGCCACTGGCCATATGGCCTGCTATAAGTCCAAATTGGCTGTCTAATCTCTGCTCTCTTGACCGTCTATGCCGGTCTTTTTACTTTGGCCTGTTGTTACAGAATGATAGTCTGCTATTAAGTGCATTTGTGAAACCCCTGGATATGAATTCTAATTTAGATTTTTCTATTCAACCTTCTTGCTTTAGATGAGAATGAATGTGAAACAGAGATTGGAGAGTCATGTGAATATCAATGTCAGAATACATTTGGAAGTTATCATTGTTTATGTCCAGCAGAATCCACATTGAATTCAGATGGCATGACTTGTAAAGGTAGGTGTCAGAATACATTCAGAAGTTATCGGTGTTTATGTCCAGTTGAATCCACATTGAATTCAGATGGCATGACTTGCAAAGGTAGCTTTCAGAATACATTCAGAAGTTGTCAGTGTTTATGTCCAGTTGAATCCACATTGAATTCAGATGGCATGACTTGCAAAGGTAGGTGTCAGAATACATTCAGAAGTTATCATTGTTTATGTCCAGTTGAATCCACATTGAATTCAGATGGCATGACTTGCAAAGGTAGCTTTCAGAATACATTCAGAAGTTGTCAGTGTTTATGTCCAGTTGAATCCACATTGAATTCAGATGGCATGACTTGCAAAGGTAGGTGTCAGAATACATTCAGAAGTTATCATTGTTTATGTCCAGTTGAATCCACATTGAATTCAGATGGCATGACTTGCAAAGGTAGGTGTCAGAATACATTCAGAAGTTGTCAGTGTTTATGTCCAGTTGAATCCACATTGAATTCAGATGGCATGACTTGCAAAGGTAGGTGTCAGAATACATTCAGAAGTTGTCAGTGTTTATGTCCAGTTGAATCCACATTGAATTCAGATGGCATGACTTGCAAAGGTAGGTGTCAGAATACATTTAAAAGTTGTCAGTTCTAATATCCAGTTAAATCCACATTGAATTCAGATGGCATGACTTGCAAAGGTAGGTGTCAGAATACATTTGAAAGTTATCATTGTTTATGTCCAACAGAATCCACATTAAATTCAGATAGTATGATTTGCAAAGGTAGGTGTCAGAATACATTCAGAATTTGTCAGTGTTTATGTCCAACAGAATCCACATTGAATTCAGATGGCATGACTTGC